ATCTTCTTTATTCACCAGTCTGGTGTTTAACCCCTCACACGTGAACAGGTGGATCATAACCCCTCGACCATGCAGTCCTGGCCAGGATGGGCTGGTTCCAGTGGGCTAACCAAAGTAAAGGGAAGAGGGAGTAAATCTCAGAGCAGTGGGTCTAAAATTGATTGCCATGTTTTTCCTGAAACATTTATCCCAAGAGAAATTGCTCACATTCTCCTTGAGTTGGCTGGATTGAATACTGTAATCTTTCTAAATTTGCCACTTTTATAAGGTTTGAGAAATAATCTCATCTCACAGGGCTCTTGCAGGCCAAGTACAGAGGCATCACATCCAGAGCAAGGACAGAAACTGCTGCTGTTTTGGGTTGCTGGTGTGAACAGCTTGGGAGGAAGAGGACGGTCTGGGCTCTCAGCAACACCACAGACTCTCTGGAGGCACAGCCAGAGATCCCTGGCACCACCAGAGGCTACTACATCCTCCGGCTTGTGGCTGCCCTTGGAAAACGTTCAGATTTCAAGACTTTCTCTGGTATTTGTGCCAGGAAACTGGGCTGCATGACTTTCAGAGCTAAATTTAGGTTCACAAGTATTTCACATTCTCCAAACACCTCCTATGACAGCATCCTAAAGTCCTTCATGAACATCAGCTATTCCTTATTATCTTCATTTGAGATGGAAAACAGAAAAGCCACTTTGCTGGCAACAGATGGAGCTGCGAGTGTTGACTTGCTCATGGCCACAGAGGAAAACCATGATGGACTTGGGATGGGTTTTTTTGGAGGGTAAGAGTTTCCAGGACAAAAAAATCCTTAAGGAGGAAATATCCTGTTCTACAGCCTTTTGAAAAGTGCCTCATTCCCCACAAAACTACACCGAATGACTCATAGCAAGAAAGTGGACAGCCTCAGTACCTGGACCATGCTTTGTTTTCAGCATGGGATGTAATATAGAGTGTGCAGAGCTTCCCGCTGCACTCTTGGGTGCAACTCAAACTGGTTTAGACCCTGCCTCTGTTAATGGCAATGTGGACTCATTTGCTTTGGCACTCAAATAGATGAGGTGATGTCTGAGGTTCCTTTTCCCTCCAGCAGTGAGATTTCTCAGCTCCAGAGCCTTGTTTTCTCCCTGGAAGGGAGAGAAGCTGCTGGAAACTGAGCAGCAAGGGCGCAGGGGGACAGGGAGAGCATGTTTGGAAGGAAGGGTTTGCCAAGGAAGAAAGCTTCTTCCAGGGATCTATATATATATGTGGGTCCCCGAGGTGGGGTCACTGAGAGGCTCATTCCTGCAGCACTCCCTGAGGAATGGCGGCCAGAGCTGCCCCCCAGCTGCACACTTGAGTTTCAGAGCATGGCCTTGAGCAGATGAAAGCAGATGGGGTTTGGCTGTGGTCCCTGCCAGCACAGAAGGATACGCTACCCAGGGTGGAGGTCTGCATGCTGCTGGCCCCACTTCTGCACTGGGCGGTGTACTTGGAGGTGGGCAAGGATGCCCTGGGTGGGGAAGAAAGAGACATCCTGGGCAATAAAAGGTTTCTTTCATCCCCATCACATAGTGCACATTCCCAGTGGGAGCCAGCAGCCAGCAATACCCCTGACTTTCCCCATTGCACAGTAATCAGAAGCTGATTTATTTTTTGGGTCCTGAACAAACTAAAAATGGAGCTGTTGCCAGCTGCAATTACAACTCATTCCCCTGGCTTCAAGCTGGACCATTTTCATCCCCTCAAAGGCTGTTCTGCCACTGAGGGACTGAAAAAGATCCCTCAAAGCTGCCAGCAGTTCCCAGGAGAGCGTGTAAGGCCAGAGGATGCTCCAATTGTCCTTGTCGCTAAAGCTGCCTTCCCTGACTGGCATCTGTCCCACACAGGAGCCCTCCACACCAGCTACTCAGGATAGCAAATTGGAACTGAAAGGCTCCTAAAGATCTGCAGCATCTCTCACACTCTTCCCCAAAACAGGAGAGTTTATCACTAAAACAAGCACGACCTGCAGTTATCCATTGGTTGATCACTAAGTTACAGCACCATGGAAATCTATACATCTGAATAGCTCTTTTAATTTTTTTTAAAGAAAAATGCCAGTTCAGAAAGAAAGAAAGAAAGAAACAAACAAACCCTAACAGGCAATGTTCCACTTGATTGTATTTTTCTGTGGATAATTGAAGTAGAAACAGAAAAAAGAAAATCCCTATAAAATAAAGGCAGTTGAAGTTTTGAAAAACTGTGCTTTAAAAGGCTTCATTTTGATGCTTCACTTGCAAAAATCAAGAGTGCTACAGAATTTGTTGCTTAGGAGTTTCCTGTGAAAAGTAATGGTAATTTTCAAGTGGCTTCTATTTTGTCCTTTTACTAAATCTCATTGAAAAAATATTATTGGCCAAATGCCCACAGGAGATTCACAGTCAACTGAGTAGAGGGTGTTCGGGTCCTGCCAGCAAAGCCAAACCAAATAAATACCATAGGTCAAAGGGCTTTTTCTGCAGTTTTGGAGCCCCAGGAGAGAGGCGTGCGGGGGTGCCAGTTCCCTTTCCCAGATGGGGGACAGAACTGGGACATTTTGTGGGAGGTGGCCTGTCCTGGGCCACGCTCTGTGCTCTGTCCAATGCAGATTATCACATTAGCAAAATCTCTATCAAAATGAAGGTGCTGTTGCCACAGGCAAGAGCCATTCTGTCATAACCCTCCCTCCCATGGCACATCGGTGTCCAGCATCCTTCTTTTTGTTCCCTGTTGCTCCTCTGTAGTCACATTTATGCCTTTGCATCTCTCAAAACAGAGGATGCTGATCCCAGTGGGCCTCCACCTGCTGCCAACAGCACTGTTACAGGTGCAGGGAGGATGATGAGGCTATGGGGAAACGCACAAGGAAGGCCAAACCCAGACTGCTGCGCGCAAGTGAAATTTCCCACACCACCTTCCCAACACTGGGGCTTATAAACCATGTGAAAATTCAACTCACCTGTTTCCAAACTATCTGTGTCTTCAATTGCTGAAAATCCCAAGCCTCAATAAAAGGCTGGTTTTGGATCAGAGAATGTGTTTTGGTTTGAAATTAAAACCTGAAAAGGTCTGGATTGGTAGGCTTAAAAATTTGCTTAATCTCAGTTCATTGATTCAGCGACCAAAACAACAAACCAGTCTTTTTTTGGGTTTCTTTCAGCTTTAAAAATGCGCTTTTTGGCACTTGACTTCAACTGGATAAAATTTGCACTGCGATTATTGAGGATACCTGATGCTGACGCCAGCAGCAGCTTGGGCCTCCCTGTGCCGGAGTGCCGGTGCTGCCCTTACACGAGCTATCCTAAACCCAGGTTTTGCACTGCAAAATCTAGGTCTTCATTCAGAGGGAGCAAGCATTCCCCTGCTCCCACTGATTTTGACCAGTTTGGAGGGGGTGGTGGCTGGCTCAGCATCACTCCCCCCTAAAAATCAGCCCCTTCTGTTGTGAGTTTAGGTCCCTGACTTCAATCATGCAGGTGGAAAAGCTGAGCCTGGTACCCCACAGCAAGCACTGTCTAATCCATGAGGCTGCTTTTCTAACTTAACTTTTATCTGTGCTTCTAAACCAGCCTTTTAATCAAATAGCAGAAGCAGGCCCTAAAATCCGTCTCCTAACACCACTTAAGCCACGATAGAACCTGAGATTAAGGGTGACACTTAACGTCCATTAAGCATCTCCCCAAATCCCAACACAGAGCTGTCAGATGAAATATGTGCCACTCGCAACAACTTGCAAATGTGGCAAGTAAGAGCTCATGTTCGGTTTTTAAGAAGCAGACCTCTTCCTGCTTTCCAGTCCAACCCCAGTCACTTAGAGAGGGATCTCAGTTCAGGAGCCACTAGGGCTGACCTGGGGCCTCCCGGCTTTCAGATACCAGGAAAGAATCAGGTCAGCTCATCTCAAAGGGTTTTCTTTCAGGATAGGGCTACAGAAAATGTACTCATGTGTGGGTCTCGCTTTATTGCAGGTAAAACCATCCAAAAGGCGAAATAAGCGCATCCTTAGCATAGCCGCTGCAGAGCAAAATACCTTCCAAGGCTGGACATTCAGCTGAAAACCATCTTTTTTGCCAGCACTGCTGTCTCCCACAGCAAAGGGACACCCCAAAAGTCAAGTGCTGCCAGGGTCCTGTGCTCCAGGAGTCCTTCTCCAAAAGCTGCCTGCTCCTGCACACGCTCCCTGACCCAGGGGCTGTCCCAAGCCTGGCAGGGCTTTAGGGTGGCTCCCCAAGGGAGGGTAGGGTGGAGGGGGAATAGTGGAAAGAAGGTGGGGGAGGGCCAGAGCCCCTCACCCCAGCAAGAGAAAAGGGAGACAGGGGCAGCTTTCCTACATCCTGCCCTGTTCTGCCTCCTCAGAGGCAAAACTTGCAGGCAGATGCCTGCGGCAGGGGGAAGCCACTGGGATTTTACTTTGGGCTCCCAGGAAGTCCCTGTGGGAAGGATCTGGCACCGGGAGGGCAGAGGAGGGATTGGTCCCTTTGCAGGCAGTCCCTCAAGTGCAGCCACTGGCAAAGGGCAAGCGTGTCAGGGAGGGTGAGGAAGTGGCCCTGGCTGCCCTCGGTCCCCCAGGGACAGTGGGGTGGCAGGCGGGATTCCCATAAGCGGAGTGGAAAGCTCTTTATTTAACCTGCCCCTGCCACCTGCCCCCAGCCTCATCCTTTGCCTCCATCCATCACGCCTTGGAGCTGCACCAGGGCTACTTTTTTGGCAGGCTGAGCCAAACAAAATTCTTTGCAAGCCAAGGCTCTGGGTAACCCTTTTGCCCTGAGCCTGTGGGGAGTGCACTGTGCCCACCTTGCATGATGCAACACGGGGGTGCTCTCAGCACAGCCCTGCTGGCTGCAACCCAAAAATCACAGAGCTGGCTCCTCTGGCAGGGGTCCTGTCCCCTCCCTGGTCCTCCTCCTGCCTGGGGACACCCAGCCCCACCACCCTCTCCAGGAGGTGACGTGCTACATCAGTGAGCAATGGAAGAACCCACGCAAATGACAAGAGAGACAACTGCATTAGGGGTGTGACAGAATGACTGATGATTTAATGCTTCTTGAAGTTTTTCGTTTCCTTCCACAGGGCATTGGTTTTAAAAACAAACAAAACGAGGTAAAATAAATTAATTTATGTACACTTTACATACACTGTGTCACGTGGAGCTTTGCAGCAACAGTAACCAGAAATCGTTACAAAACAGAAAGTTATATGGCTGTTGCAGGTCCTCGGCAGCCTGCAACCAAGGTCGTCATCCTGAGCATGGTTGGCAAAGTGATCATGTAAACACGTTTAGAAGCATTTACGGTGGACGATGGATGGGCCAGCTTCGTCGTACTCCTGCTTTGTGATCCACATCTGCTGGAAGGTGGACAGGGAGGCCAGGATAGAGCCACCGATCCAGACAGAGTACTTGCGCTCAGGTGGGGCAATGATCTAGGAAACACAAAGAAAGACAAGATCAGCAAACGAGGCACCACAGGGGCGTGCACAGCCCCACCTGCAGTCTGCAGGGGGACAAAAGGTGGCTGTTCCTGCGGCTGGGTCCTTGGTGCTCCAGCCTTACCTTGATCTTCATGGTGCTGGGGGCCAGGGCTGTGATCTCCTTTTGCATGCGGTCAGCAATACCTGGGTACATGGTGGTACCCCCAGACATGACGTTGTTGGCGTACAGGTCCTTCCTGATGTCAATGTCGCACTTCATGATGCTGTTGTAGGTGGTCTCATGGATCCCTGCGGACTCCATACCTGGGGGCAGAGAAGGGGAGAAAAGCAGGCACACATTAAGTGCAAAGCTCTACGGGGGGAGTCAGGAGAGGGAGGAGAGCGGGAAGGGGGGCACACACACCAATGAAGGAAGGCTGGAAGAGGGTTTCTGGGCAGCGGAAACGTTCGTTGCCGATGGTGATGACCTGCCCATCAGGCAGCTCATAGCTCTTTTCGAGGGAGGAGGAAGAGGCAGCGGTGGCCATCTCGTTCTCAAAGTCCAGCGCCACATAGCACAGCTTCTCCTTGATGTCGCGGACAATCTCACGTTCAGCTGTCAGGGGAGAGCAATGGTGTCAGTGATTGCAAAGGAGGAACAGGGAACGCCTGCATCTTCTCCATAGGTCTGCTGGGACTCCAAACCCCAGCCACATGCAGACTCCCAACAAGGAGCACTCCCAGCGCTTGCAATGGGGCGAGAGGCTGCAGCATCCCTGGAGGCACAAGGGTTGGAAGTGAGGGGGGACGTTTTGAAGGCGGGAACAGTGCTTACCTGTGGTGACGAAGGAATAGCCACGCTCAGTCAGGATCTTCATCAGATAGTCAGTGAGGTCCCGGCCGGCCAGATCCAAGCGCATGATGGCATGGGGCAGGGCATACCCCTCATAGATGGGGACATTGTGTGTCACACCATCACCGGAGTCCAGCACGATACCTGGGGAAACCAAGAAGCGGCCACCTGAGACACAGCCCACGAAGGGCCCTGCCCTGGGGGGACAGAGCACTTGTCAGCTGCAGGACACCAGTCCTGGGCACCCTTGCTCAGGGAAAGGGGCCAGCAGGACACTTGCACTCACCAGTGGTACGGCCAGAGGCATACAGGGACAGCACAGCCTGGATGGCCACGTACATGGCAGGGACGTTGAAGGTCTCAAACATGATTTGGGTCATCTTTTCACGGTTGGCTTTGGGGTTAAGGGGGGCCTCAGTGAGCAGGGTGGGGTGCTCCTCAGGGGCCACACGCAGCTCGTTGTAGAAGGTGTGGTGCCAGATCTTCTCCATGTCGTCCCAGTTTGTGATGATGCCGTGTTCAATGGGGTACTTCAGGGTCAGGATACCTCTCTTGCTCTGGGCTTCATCTCCTACGTAGGAGTCCTTCTGACCCATACCCACCATGACGCCCTGCAGGGGAGGAAAGGGGGGGCTCAGCAACCTCTTCACGGGCAGCAGCACGGGGCTCCCCAGCAGGCCAGACGTCCTCCCTCCACACAGAGGGTTGGCAGGCAGTAGGGACCTGTGACTACGGCTGTGGCAGGGCTCAGAGGGGGTCAGCACCATACCTGGTGACGGGGGCGGCCCACGATGGAGGGGAACACGGCCCTAGGGGCGTCATCCCCGGCGAAGCCG